CTCAGCTCCTGTTCCTCATGGGCTGGTGGTCACCTCAGGGCATTAACGCTCTGGCCCTTCTGTCTGCCTCCCCTACGTCCAGGTCCCACCACTGAATTCTGCAGGGAACCTCCATGACGGAACACAGGCAGGGACCAGGTGCCAGACACAGGCCCCGAGGCCATGGCTGTCCCCTCTCGCTGTGCCCGGCCCCCTTTTTCCTGAGCGCAGTGTCGCCACACCGCTCGGCTCTCATGCTCCCGGCTCTCACAGCTCCGTGGCCAGGAGCTGCCTGTGCTGCCAGTGAGAGTCACAGGAGGGCGCTGCTGAGTCCAGGTGTGGCCACATGGTCTTTTGCTGTTGTTAACCTCACCCAAGGATATTTGTTGGTTTGAGAGAGAGAGAGAGAGAGAGAGAGCAAGAATGAAATGTCAATGTGAGAAAGAAATACTGATTGGTTGCCTCCTATATGGGCCCCAACTGGGGATCGAACCCACAACCCAGGTATGTGCCCTGACAAGGAATTGAACCTGTAACCTTTTGGTGTGCGGAACGACACTCCAACCAACTGAGCTTCCAGCTGGGGCCACGTGTCCTTTCTTGAGCTGAGGCCCTGGCCATGTGCTCAGAGCTGAAGGGCGTGTTGGGCCCCTTGAAAAGCGCAGACCAGTGGTGCCAGCGCACGGCTTGCAGGGAAAATCCAGAGCCTGCACGCCAAGCAGGCAAAACGTGAAAGCCCAGCCCGCCCCACGTGACAGACAGGAGCACCGAGGCTCACGGAGAGCGTGTGACCTACTCCCATCACACAGCTACAAACAATGGAGCTGGAGTTCAAATTCAGGCCTGTCTTGCCTCCAAAGCTCCCACTTAGAAAGTGTTTAGGGGGTGTGTGGGGTCGGGGGGGGGTATAAAAGTGCTTCATAAATATTTTTCTTGTAAAAAAATTCAAACCTCACTGAACATCCCTCTAACATCACTGAACCCAAGTCTTAGTCCTCTCCCGTCAGATAGCTGCCCATCAGCACCTTCGGGAGAACAGCTCCTTCTCCGTGGACTCCGCCCTGCATTACCTGGCTGGGGGCGGGCACCCCCCACCCCTGGGTTGGACAACTGTGTGCTCCCCGCGCAGCAGGAACAGCCCTGTCACTGGCTGTGGCCTTGCACACCTTTTTCTGAACGTTCACTGACCACTAGACACTGACCCTGGGTTTGGGCTGAGGGTGTGCCAGGGCCAGCATGTGAGGGCATCATTGCTACCTGGAAGGATCTATGGCTTCCCCCCATGTTTGCTCCTGCTGGTGTCGCCGTTCTGTTTCCTCAGACCAAACTTCCTGTCTGTTCCTGTGGACGGGTCCTGCAGCTCCCCGCTGGCCCCTGCCGGTTACCGAGTCTCAGGGGGCCTCGCAGGTCAGCAGCCCGGGAAGCACCCACGGAGGCTCCCACCCAGACTGGGGTCTGCAGACAGACGGGCGGAGTGGGAGCCGGCAGTGGCCGGGCATCCAGGGGCACGAACAGCCTTAGAAATGTCTCCGAAGAGGGAGCTGCTGCAGGAAAACGGTCACTGTCAACAACTCCATCCGTCCCCGCTGGCGTCCGCCAGGCCAGCTCTGCCCTGGCCCAGGTTCCGGGCACAGCCATGCAGCACCTGGTAATCCTGGCGTCCGGGACCGAGCCGCTCGGGGCCCCACCAGGGTGGCCTGTGTGGCCGGAGCAGCTAGGGAGACCCCACCTGCAGGGGCCCCTGTGATGAGCCAGTTTGGTTCTGACGTTCCACTGTGTTCATTGGCAAAGGGTTCCAGCTAGTGTGATGGGGAACCCCCCACCCTCTCTCAGGTGCACCGGCAGATGGCTTGTGCCCCCGCTCTGCATCCTGCTCAAGTCAGCACACGCTTATAGAACACCTCTTAGACTTCTAGGGTGACCGGGAGGTTGTCAGGGCTGCTCTGTGCTGGGGGGTCCCCGGGAGGTTGTCAGGGCTGCTCTGTGCTGGGGGGTCCCCGGGAGGTTGTCAGGGCTGCTCTGTGCTGGGGGGTCCCTGGGAGGTTGTCAGGCCTGCTCTGTGCTGGGGGGTCCCCGGGAGGTTGTCAGGCCTGCTCTGTGCTGGGGGATGCAGCCCCGAGCAAAGGCGTCAGGCTGGGTCCTCCGGGGAGACGGCAACAGGATGGTTAGAAACGTAAGCGCTGGGTGAGGGACGCCTTAGTAAAGAGGGAGGATGAGCGAGCACAGAAAGTTCCACCCACGGAGGCAGGAGGCACAGGGAGCTCAGCCACCCCCTTGCTCCCCAGAGCGGAGCCTGGCCTGGCGGCCGTCAGCGGACTGTCCTGTGGCAGCCTCTGGGGGGGGGGGGTCATGGAGCAGCACCTCCGTGGCTGCGACGGCGGGTGGGAGGCAGCTGACACCTACGGGGGTGCAGGGGCAGATGATACCCCACAAGGCATAGCATTTCCTGCACAGCACAGGGACCCTTCCGCCCTCCGTTCTTCCCCCGGGTGGCAAATGAGCCACGTGGGCCAGAGAGGAGCCTGGGTCCCCAAAGGGCCTCCTGGAGCAGAGTCGCCTGCCGCGGCACTGCCCCCCAGGCGGTGTGCAGGGGAAGCGGACTTCCCTGTGCGTAGAGCCACCTCCTGAGCACGGGATCGCCTTCCTTTGCCACGATGGGACTCTAACAGGCAGTGGCAGGACAAAGGTGTGACTAGCCCGCCAGCCGCAGCCCTCCGCACAGCAGCTTGGCTGGGGCAGGTGGACAGCAGAGGGAGAAACCCCTTTGGGGCACACAGTGGCTTTTTCTACTGATAAGATTTGTTGTGCTACCATCGCACCCTTCATCTCCAGAACTTGTCATCTTCCCAAACTGAAGCTCTTTCCTTTCTGCACAAACTCCCCAGCCCCAGCCCCTGTGAACCACAACCTACTCTTTCTCTAGGAGTCTGAGGGCTCGACGTACCTGATGCAAGTGGGACCACACGGTGTTGGTCCTTCTGTGTCTGCTTATCTCATTAGCATAATGTCCTTACGGCTCACCATGCTGCAGCATGTGCCAGCGTGTCCTTCCTTTTAAGGCTAACATTCCCCTGTATGTGTGCACTACCTTTTACCTCCCTCACCCACTGATAAAAGGAGCACTTGTGCTGTTTCTTTCTTCTGGCCACTGTGAATAATGCTCTTATGGACATGGATGTACAAATATCTATCTGAGTCCCTGCTTTCAATTCTTTT